GAATTATACAGCAAGATAGGAAAAAGTAGTATCTTAACAAAAGTTTTAGATGGAGAAAATATTTTGAAATTGTGTATAGCTATGTTCTCTCTCCCTCAGCCTTTTTTAGTTAATTTAAATTCAGTTTTTTGTATTCAAGTGAATGCCTCCTCATATGCTTGTCTCTTTTAACCTTCTTCCAAGCGTATGTTTATGATTAGAAGAATTTATGAGATATTTGTATTTTACCACTAGCTTCTTTGATAAAAATACACAAATACATATTTATGGTAAATCAAATTGTTTTTGTATGTTGGTTTCTGGAAATAGTTCTATCATTTTATTGTTAACTTAGACAAATGTGTTGTATATGTTTTGTTTTCTGTTTGTTAACAGGAAACATCTGTTAGCTTAGAGCTTTCCTTTGAAGAGATACTTCCCAATACTTTGGGCTCAAATCACAACAAATTCTTGGTTTCAGAAAAAAGTAAAGACAGACCCCAAAGGTCATTCTTTGTATCTATTTTCATCATTTTGTACCTCTAGACTGAGTTTTTCTTTTATGAGTGCAATTTACTTGCTAAAAAATAGAAAGGATGGTATTAAGGGTTCTGTTCACTTTTTAAAGTTAGTTCTTAGAATTATGTATTTTGAAATTCATCTGAATGTAAATAGGCACAGCATTAAAACAGTTTTTCAAAACATGAAAACCAAAACCTAAAGTCACTGGATAAAAAGGCATTCTTTCTAGAAAGTCATAATTATGTATAGCAGTAGCAGTTCAGAACAGATTATTCTGGTCTTTCTTTTCTGTTAGCTGCAGTAACACTTTGGAGAAAACAAATTTTCATCTTGTTGAACTCTATCTAGGTGAGAGTTAGACCTATACAGTTTTGAACATGTTAAAAAAAAAAAAAATGAACAGTTATTTAAAACCAAGGGCAGAAGCAGAGGGTGAATAGAAGAAAAGATGAGAAGAATATTTTCCTATAAACATTAAGGGAAAATGGTTTAGCATTAACAGGTTTTACAAATTAATACTCAGCTTTCAAGAGTTCAGTGCGTATGTGTGTTAGTCTCTGGCATGTCTGACTCTTTGTGACCCCATGGTCCCTGACTGCCAGGTCCCTCTGTCCATGAGATTCTCCAGGCAAGAATACTGGAGTGGGTTGCCATTCCCTTCTCCAGGGGATCTTCCCAACCCAGGGATCGAACCCGGGTCTCCTGCATTGCAGGCAGATTCTGAGCCACCAGAGTTATTGCTGGATCCATTTAAAACATCCTGCTTTCAATACAAGTATATGTACTGACCTCGTTTCTTTGAAATCAGAAACCTAACTCCCAAGGCCTTGTGGAAGGATTCTTCCAGCTTCTCTTCTCCCCTCTGCACTCTGTAGTTCCACTCAGTTAACTATGTAGTGTAAACCTCGGGCATCCTGAGTGAAAAAAAGTCACAAAGAACTCCTCTTTGCTTTTCATTGGCTGTAAAGTCAACCAGTGCAGAGATGTTCCTCCACAACCAGTTTTACTTCAGTACATATTATTGAATATCCTTTGTGTTACTTTATTGTTTGATAATCATTCCGTTATTCTTTGCAGAAGTCTAAGCTAATACAGGAGACAAGGGACTGCAGTTGGAACCTGCTATCTACACTTGACCCTTGAACAGTGTGGTGATTAGGGATACCTACCCCTCTGCACAGTGAAAATCCACATGTCACTTATAGTTGGCCCTCTCTTTCTGTGATATCCACTATCAGATCTGCAGGTTCAACCAGCCTCAGATAGTGCAGTGCCATAGGATTTACTGTTGAAAAAAACCCAGTCATCAGTGCAGTTCAGACCTGTGTTATTCAAGGGTTAACTGTATGTAGCTTTATCTTAAGTATTCTTATGTAATCCTCAGCAGTCAAGTAATGTTACTGTTGTTTAGCATAACATGATTCCTGTATCTTGGTGCAGAATCTGAAAAGTGATTTTCCCAAAATCTCCTTACTAAGTGGCAGATCCAGGATATAAACTTAATTTGTCTAATGCCAAAGCCTGAAGTTTTTGTTAAACAAAAAGGAACCAGGACTTGCAAACCCTGTCCAAACCCTCTTTCAAGACTGCAAAGGTCTTTTGTACTGGGGCATAAACAATAACTCAGATCTTTTTTTTTTTTTTTTCATTTATTTTTGTTAGTTGGAGGCTAATTACTTTACATCATTGCAGTGGTTTTTGTCATACATTGAAATGAATTAGCCATGGATTTACATGTATTCCCCATCCCGGTCCCCCCTCCCACCTCCCTCTCCACCCGATCCCTCTGGGTCTTCCCAGTGCACCAGGCCTGAGCACTTGTCTCATGCACCCAACCTGGGCTGGTGATTTGTTTCACCCTAGATAATATACGTGTTTCGATGCAGTTCTCTTGAAACATCCCACCCTCGCCTTCTCCCAGAGTCCACAAGTCTGTTCTATACATCGGAGTCTCTTTTTCTGTTTTGCACATAGGGTTATCGTTACCATCTTTCTAAATTCCATATATATGTGTTAGTATACTGTAATGGTCTTTATCTTTCTGGCTTACTTCGCTCTGTATAATGGGCTCCAGTTTCATCCATCTCATTAGAACTGATTCAAATGAATTCTTTTTAATGGCTGAGTAATATTCCATGGTGTATATGTACCACAGCTTCCTCATCCATTCGTCTGCTGATGGGCATCTAGGTTGCTTCCATGTCCTGGCTATTATAAACAGTGCTGCGATGAACATTGGGGTGCACGTGTCTCTTTCAGATCTGGTTTCCTCGGTGTGTATGCCCAGTATGTGGATATATGTTAGATCTTGTTAAACAGTGAGTTTCTTGGTTTTGATAGTGTGAGGGGGATATTGGACTGACTTGATATCATGTATCACTGTATAGAAATGTAACTTTTCTGTATATGAATAAGGTCATATATATTGTAATCATTTTTTTTAGAAAACCACCTAAAGATAAACTTTTAAAAATTCAGCATTTCATCTTGTTTTTGTATTGGAAATTGGGAATCATGTGCACAGTCTCTTAAAGTCCCTAAGTTGAGAACAAACTTACTTAGACTTTTTTGCCCAATAGCATAGAAGTAGCCAGGAAACCCGTCCTTGAATGGCTGGAAAGAGCTTCATTGTAAAGGGTCAAGAAGTCTAACCTTAGATTTCCACTCTTTGAATTAACCATCCCACCCCTGTGAGGCCAGTTCAGCCATCTTCCCTTCTGCCCTCTGTTCCCATACTTAGCAGATTTCAGAAGACAGTTGAGTGACAAACGCCTGCCACCATTGCTTAGATACACTTTAAGTGCCATACCCATTGCGAAACTGCTTATTTGTAAAATCTTAAACCCCTGTGGAATAAAATGGTCTAATCTCTTACTGAAATGCCTTGAATGCAAGTGAAATATAAAAGAGCTTAATGTTAAACAGTACTGTTTATTGCTGTATGAACCTTACAGAAATTATAAAGTGGCTTTCTATGTTTATTTTGCAGTAACAAATAATGAATATTAGTGAAGAGGAAATAATATAAGAAGTGTATTTAACTCAAAAAAGTCTATATTTAACTTTGGTATAGAAATTTTACCTTGCAACTTTTTAGACATACATCATAAGGAAAATTTACTTGGGAGAAATATCTCTTTAATGTTAGAGGAAAATGAGAATGGGAAGTAGAGTGGATCATTCACTTGAATATAAACTAAAATTTAATTGCTTTTAAAGAACCAAAAGCTAGATCAGTTTTATTTTAGAAGAAGGACCAGCATGTATAGAATATTGAGTTCTAGATTAAATAACTATTAAAGTCTAATTTGAATGACAGAATCAGAGATACCTCAGGCCATTATTAAAAAAAAAAATTGGTTCCTTTTGTAGGGCACATTTAAAGTGAAATCTTAAGAAAATTCACACTTCTGTCTTCCTGAAATGTAACCTATACCAGAATAGTATTGTTGCATAAGTTTGCAGTTCTATTTAAACACTTTAACAGCTATTAATTTAGTGTTTTAGTTCATCTCTGTTCTGTGTATTTTTAACAGTGAAATTAAATGTATCCTTTCTGATTTGTTTGGTTTTAAATTAGGCTCACTCAGGGCTATCTCCCAGAGACTGTGAGATGGCCCTTGGTGCCTTTTGGCATCAGCTTTTGTTAAAGTCAGTGCATGTTCTTGTGTTTGTCATCTTGGAGGGACATTAGGCTAGTTGTGCCAACTTGGATCCATTTCTGAGGTTTACCGCAGGAACAAAATACTGAAATTATCATAAACCATTCTTCTTCAGTTTTTAAAAAAATGCCACTGAAATATGACTCAGAAGTAAAAATAGAATTTTTCGAGTCCAGTAGTTTATGACTTAAATACCCTGTATATATTCCAAGCATCTCTTGCCCAGACTCAGAAAGCGGATGACTATGTAAAAGGAAAGAGCATATCCTTAACCCATGGCTAGAAATAGCATAAGTGTGTTTCTGTGCCATCCTGCTCTACCTTGTGACTCAGGTTCTGGAATCAGCTCTTCTTTAAATGATTGCTGGCATCACACCTAGGTGAGCCCTTAGTGGAGCTTTCCCATTAAAAGACACAAATGCTGGGATCTGAAGTACATTGAATACTTTATTAATCAATTTGGAAAGAACACGCTAATACAGAAATGTCATATATAGTTGACTAGTTGATTATTGACTGTGTTCTAATAGGATATGAGGTTTATTTTCCCGTTTTTCCTAGAGTCATAATGAAGTGGCTTAAAAAGATAAATAAGAACAAAGTTTACCTTCTACGGTAGGCCTGCTTTGGTCTAGTTATCCCTGATTGTTGCAAATCCTTTCTTTGTGTTCAAAAGTTTAACTTTCCATATTCCAGACGATTCATAGAGATTAACCACAGTTTATTTAAACAAACAAAGAAGACACACACAAAGCAATAGTTTTAAATTTTTTTTTTTTGGAAGGAATTCACTTGCTTACTTTTCTTAAAAACATCTTTCCCATTTCATTGAGGCAGATTTGGAAGTCAAACCAGAAACTTCAGGCTCTACTACGATGGAAAGCACTTTGTTGGGGAGAAGCGCTTTGAGTCCATCCACGATCTGGTGACTGATGGATTGATTACTCTCTATATTGAAACCAAGGCAGCAGAATACATTGCCAAGATGACGATAAACCCAATTTATGAGCACATAGGATACACAACCTTAAACAGAGAGCCAGCATACCAAAAACATATGCCAGTCCTGAAAGAGACACTTGATGAGAAAGATTCTACAGGCCAGGATGGGGTGTCAGAGAAAAGGGTAAGCTACCATGAAACCACACTTTATCTTCTTCTGTTTGGGGTCCTTATAAGAAAATCATTATTGCCAGAAGAGATTGACTTCTCCATGGTGCTTTGGAAAGGGTATGCCTTTTCCTTAATGTTGAGTTTCTATGATGCTGAGTTTTGCATATATCTAATTCTTACTCAGTTAAAATATATCAGGTATGTTTTTGTACTCCTGATTATTTCTTATTTTATCAGTTTTACAGTTTTAAAAATTTGCTGGAAAAATGGCCAACAAATTTTGTAGTAAAAAAGTTTGAGTCTTAATCAGAAGCATAACTTATACTAGCTATATATATTACATAAAAAAATTAAGGGGGTTACATTATCTATCAGTTTGTTTTCTTTAAAAGTAATTTACTTTATAAGTAGTTCTCTTCTTTAGAAAATTGATAGATAACATGAATTTTTAAATGCACATGGTTAAATTCAATTTTTCAATAACTGTTACATTATTTTGAGAATCAGTCTTGAGTAACAGGAGAATTTACCTCTTTATGGACTTAGAAAGTAAATTAGGAAAATATACTTTTCTATCATTATGAAAGACAGTTTAAGGTTTTCATTTGTCTTAATTGTAATATATTTAAGGTTAACATCAGAACCTTTAATTCTTTGGCATTAAAATAATTTTAACTTTGAAAATTGTCCCTGGTCTCCCTTTAATCCCCCAAGAAAAAGAATGAGAATTTCCCCATATTTAATATTGTGTGGGATTTAGTTGGGAAAGTTTTATGTTTTCTAATTGTAATTGTTTTAATGAATTCTTATATATTTGAGTATCTTAAGTTGCCATATTAAATAAATGTAGTATTATATAGTGATTTGATCTTGATTCTGTCACCAAATTTACACCAAATTTGTGTATAAATTCTCATTTTACCAGTTGCATGAACTTCAGCAAGTTACTTAAATTCTCTGTGCTTTAATGTTCTTTATTTGTAAAACTGTAATAATATTCAGCTTTGGAGGATTGACTGAGATAGTATGTATAAAATAATCAGACACTTTGTGTTGTGACACAAAGTAAGCACTCAATGTGAGTTTGATGGGAATGTTACTATGACAGTCATATTACTTCAAGGCAGGATTCTAAAATATTGATTATCTTGGAGTATTTAGGTACAGAATGGAAATTTCAAATGTGCATTGTCCAACATAAATCTTAATTTCTGGTAGATCTTAGAGTGGCATTTTGTGGCTACAGAGAAACCAATGTTTTAAATTATAGACTGTAGCAAATGGTTTTCATATACTTAAATTTGTTAGGAACTACAAATCTTTTTTGGAAGTAACTAGAATTTAGAATCCCAAGTGAATGCTGTATTTAATATTCTTCTTTGCACTCTAGTTCCCATTTTCTCATTTTTATTTTTCATTCATGGCATTTTTTTTAGTAATGCTTGTATTTAAATATCTAGCACTGATACATGTTATGAAGATGTGTCTAGAATATTCTAAGTTAACATCTGTAAAATATTTTTTTAAATGTCTGTAAGTCTTTCAAATTGGGTCAGCCTAATGATAAACTTTGCTGATGTGTTCTGTATACATTTTTCTACATTAAGGGACTCAAGTTAAAGACATCAAGTTATTTAACATTAACATAGGACTAGTCATTTAACCTCATAGGGCCTTGGTTGTCCCTCCTACAGTGAAAATATTATTCACAGAGGCAAGAGACTGAGGTAGCTAGTGCCTGAAAGAAGTTTTCAGCTCTAAGAGCCATGGTGCCCTCTATATTTGGCAACATTATCTGTATCATTACCTGGATTTTTGTGCTGAAGGCCAGTGGCATAGAATGAAATAGCTGGTCCTGGAAAGTGTTTCTCTTCAGCAAACCTTGATTAAGAATCATCTCTTAAAAACTATTCTTTGTTTTAAGCTGCATGCATCTTAAATCTAGTTGGCTTAAAATCTACTCACTCAAAACTAGATTTATTTTATTTACAGGTGTCATCCAACAGGGCAGGGATGATGACCTGTTCAACAGCTTGAAACATTGATTCCCTGTCACAGTGGATGACATTTGTAAGTAAAGACAATCATGTTTAAATGGTTTAAAATACCTACTGACACAAGTGCATTTTGATAAATATTTTACTGGGTCCTGAATAGCTAAATCCCCTCTTATCCATCACTCCTTTTTCTCAGAGGTGGAAAACGTTGGCTTTGCAGGAGCTAGTATGCTGTTGTGGGAAGGATATGAGCATTGGAATTAAGAGCTAGGTTCTACTACAGGCATTGATTTTATGTGTCACTGGGGCAAGCTTTTTCACCTCTCTTGAGACTGTGTTTCCCCCTTTAAATAAGAGGGCTCTGGACTAGTTGACATCCATGGTCTGGTTTATTTAGTCTGTGATCCTTTTGGAGGTACAGGCCTTGTATGAGAACACAGCCCAAGAAAGAGCACTAAAGTGAAGTCTAGAAAGGTGAAATCTGTTTTCAGTGTATCTACTAATTGTATGACCTTGAGACAAATCCCTAACCTGTCTGAACTTCATTTTTTCAATATATAAGACAAGGGTTTTTCTACAAAACAGTAGTTTACAGGATTTTAATAAATACTGCAAAAAGGGTTCTGTGCTCAAATAGATTTGATAAAAATTAAGTTTTTTTTAAAAATAAACTTAATCATTTCTTTTCTGTAGACTGCACAGCTTTGCTAATCCCTAATGTGCACTGTGACTCTCAAGAGTTCTCCCAAACTTATCTGAATCACCTCACCCCTATTCAGAACATTTTGGGAGAATAATGTTTCATGAAACCCACTTAGGGAAGTTTTGAGCCAGATGATCTCTTAAGGTCTTTCTTTGTTCTAAAATTGAAGGATGAGAATTCTACATGTATTTTTTTCAGTCCTTAAGGTATTTAAGTTGAGTGTCTGAGCTTTTGTGGAAGGTTGATAGGATGGTTTTTTTTTTAAGATTTATTATTATTATTATTTTGGCTATGATGGGCCTTCATTGCCGCACACAGGTCTTCTCTAGTTGCAGCGAGCAGGCGCTCCTCTGCATTGTGGAGGTGGAACTTCTCATTGTGTTGGCTTCTCTGACTGCAGAGCACGGCTCTAGGCTCGTGGGCTTCAGGACTTGCAGTGCAGAGGTTCAGTACTTGTAGCACACAGGCTTGGTTGCTCTGTGGCATGTGAGATCTTCCTGGGCAATGGACTGAACCGGTGTCCTTTGCAATGCAAGGCAGATTCTTAACCACTAGACCAACAGGGAAGCCCTGGCAGGATGGCTTTATGGTCATAATATATATATTTTTTAAGGTTGTTTTATTTATTTATTTTTAATTATTTATTATAATTGGAGGCTAATTACTTCACAATATTGTGGTGGTAGTTTTTGCCATACATTGACATGAGTCAGCCACGGGTATACATGTGCATGTGTCCCCACCTTCCCAAACCCCTCTCCCACCTCCCTCCCTATTCTAGCCCTGTGGGTTGTCGCAGTGCACTGGCTTTGAGTGCCCTGTTCCATGCATCGAAATTGGACTGGTCCTCTGTTTCACATATGGTGGTATACATGTTTCAGTGCTATTCTCTCAAATCACCCCACCCCCATGCTCTCCTACAGAGAACAGTCTCTTCTTTCAAGTAGTGAATAATAGCGCACATGCTTCAACAGGTACTGGACCTGTGGTTTTGTGATGATTCTACACTTACTAGTAACGTACCTTTACGTTCTCCAAAACCACGCTTTTGAAAATGTCTCCTGTAACTGTTAGTAATACATGTTGTCAAATACAATACATAATTTGCATTTCAAAAAACCGTACTGTCAGTCAGAACTCTTGACTCTAGCCAGAACCACTTTCCTTTTGGATTTAGTCCTCTTAAGCTCAAAACCTGTCTCATGTATAAGGATAGCCTGTGATGGCAAGAGGGGGCAAAATCAGCTTGTTGGTTTTATAGAAGTTCACCAAGCTAAATGACCTATGTGTGTCTGTGTGTATGTACATGTTTCCTTTCCCTGGAATTTTGGCATGAGTGCAGTTGTTGGTATGTTTATATATATATAAACATATATATAAAATATGGTATATATGGTATATATATAATTTAAAGAACTTCCTATACATTTAAACTTTTTTTCAAGGACTTCTTTGGGGTTCCCCAGACTGCATATGTATTACAGAGCTTTGTTGAAATGAAAGCCCTACCAAAAATGCTATAACTACTGGAATTCTGTGGTTAGCTTCATAAAGTAACATAAGTCTTTATCCCCTGGGAAAGCAGGAGCATGGACTGTCTGGTTTGCTAATTGTCTTAGTCTTCCACAAAGCCACTCTTCTCCGTGTTTTTACTTTGTTTAAAAATACATATAGCACCTTTTTTCTTTCTGTATCATCTCAATGTAGAAATCATAAGAAACCCAAACTTAAATTTAATCATTATAAAAATAACAATGCCAGAGAAGTGGGTAGCATGAAACAGTCTGAAGAAAACTGTTTGGTTCCTGGAGTTTGTGTTTTCTCAGTCTCCGGGGCCTTTTTTTCTTCTCCTTGTTCCTCCCCACACTGTGCTCCTCTCGTTCTCCTTTACTCTGCTTTTTTCCTCGTCCATCCCTCTTGCCCCTTGTCAGGTCTCCCGTGTGGTTGGTTCAAGGTTAGGATCAGTTGTTCAGGGAGAACAGACCCTTAGAGAACTGCCACGTGGGCCCAGGGTCACTTATTTGTATTAAAAAATCAATTAAGTAATTTATGAGGAAACTACAACTTCCATACAGAACATCTCATAGTGGGTTTGTCCTCTTCTCAATGACCTTCTTAAGAAATCAAGTACAGTTTTTAAAACAAAGAGCCTGCGTGATCAGTGTGTGTGCTAAGTCACTCAGTTGTGTCCGACTCTTTGTGACCCTATGGACTGTAGCCCCCCAGTCTTCTCTGTCCATGGGATTCTCCAGGCAAAATACTGGAGTGGGTTGCCATTTCCTCCTGGGGAAAATGGCATTTCCTCCGTCTTCC